AATCAATAAATATATTTTAAAAAGAATCTTCCCCCTGGATATTCTATGACCTGGCACAGAGATCTCTGTGTTGAGGCCGTGGAAAGGGGGGTAGAGGTAACCACACACAAAGCCAAGTGTGTATCCCTCAAAGGTTACAGAGCAAACAGAAGAGCAGGTAATATGTGGGTAGAAGAGTGTGGAGGGGACCTTGGAAGAACCTAGATAAGAACATGCCATTTCTTGTGTGCCCCTTAGCTTGTACTTACTAGACCAACAAGTTGGTCTGCAGAGAAAAGGGGTAAGAGGTACAGATTGAGGGGGAAGGTAAGAGAGGCATTTTGTAATTCATCAAGATGAGTGAAATACTGTATATGTTGTTTACAAACTCACTCTAGGGAGAGCCCATAGCAGTGCTAGAGACAGACAATTAAGATTGATAATACAGTAAAACCTCAATATAATGGACTAATTCGAGCAAAGGGGGTGTCTGTTAAAGTGAAATTCTATTATAAAATAAAGTTTTCCAAATGCATGTTAAAAAATTGATAAATTAGTTTTTACTTATGTAGACACGTCTGTGTAATTAGAATTAAGTATATATGAAAAGTTAAATTTCACAGAAAAGATTTCTCTATGCATTACTATAATTTTAAATTTATACTCAATAGGTCTAATAGATGCGTGCATTCACCAGTCACCTCGAGTGAACAAATGCACACGACTGAGGCGTGGTTTAGCGCACGTCAGAATATCACCAACATGAATTAAAACTCCTGCACAAAGTCATCCCAAGAGACAACAGAACCGATTACCTCGGGGCAATGCAATGTGATCATGTGCTAATCATTCACCAAACACTGCTTGCAAGCAACTGCTCTTGGATTTATATATGTAGACTACAGTTGTAAATATGTAATATTTATGTCAGCACAACTACTACAGTGTTTTTTCCAACATACGGCCTATTTGCTAAAATTTGTTCAAAATAACTGAATAACAGAGAAATAACTTATTCATATGATTATAACCAAATCTTGGTTAAATGCATTTTAAAATTACCAGGTTGTTAATTTTCACATACAGACTGGACTTTTTTTTAAATTAAATATATTTTTATTGGTTTCAGAGAGGAAGGGAGTACAAACATCAATGATGCCAGAGAATTATTGATCAGCTGCCTCCTGCACACCCCCTTCTAGGGATCGAGCTGGCAACCTGGGCATGTGCCCTTGCTGGAAACGAACCCAGGACCCTTCAGTTCACAGGTGAACACTTTATCCACTGAGCCAAACTGGCTATAGCATTTTTGTCCGTTAAATCCGAAGCCCATTAAGTCAAAGGTCAGAAAAATCAAGAGTTCACTGTACCAACATCCTCTATTCTAACCTCACTCAACATGAGTGATCTTTCAAAATGCAAAGCTGCCTTCCCTCTGTATAGAGTCCTGTATAAACTCTAATGGCTTAGAATAAAATCCAAATTCCCTTGGCTAATAAACCCCTGCAGCAACCTGCCCCCTACCTAGCTCTCCAACCTCCATTCTAGGCTCTTTGCTCCACCATACCACATCATGAGACAGTCTCATGACTTCTCCAACCCTCCCAACAGACTGTGTGCTCCTCAGAAGCCATTTCCTGCTCCAAGACCCAACAGAGTGTTTGGCACACAAAAACTGCAAATGCTTATTGATCGAAAGCAAGGCACTGGTAAACAACCCAAAGACTTCTAGACAGGCCCGGACTACTCATTGCTCCATGGTTAACCATTAAATTGATTTTGGCAAAACAAGCCCCTTAGGGCTAAATGAGAGAAAGGTGGGTCCATACTAGGATTAGATCCACCTGGTTTAGAGGCCACCAGGGATGCAGCATACCTCAAAGACTAATAATAAGCAAAGTTAATTTTCTGCCCCTCCTAACACCAGGCTTCACTCTATCTGTAATTGCCACAGAAGTTAAATTTAATCAATTGAGATACATATAGATATATTTTCTTTGGTTAATCCTCACCTGAGGATATTATTTTCAATGTTTTTAGAGAGAGTGGAAGGGAAGGAGGGAAAGAGGGATAGGGAAAGAGAGAGAGAAACATCGATGTGAGAGAGACACATCAACTGGTTGCCTCCTGCATGAGCGTCCCAACCAGGGCTGGAAATCAAACCTGCAACCCAGGTACCTGCCCTTGACTGGGAACTGAACACAATACCCTTTGGAGTGCAGCTCTTCCACTGAGCCACACCTGTCAGGGCTAATCAATTGATACTATTTTATGTTGTACCAAATCCACAGAAATTACATCAAGAAGGATTAATGACAAGATTAAATTGTATGCACAAAGCCCCATACTCACCTTATTTATAATGAATCATATTTAGCATTTTTTTTCCCTTTATCCTCACCTGAGGACATTTTTTCCATTGATTTTTAGAGAGACTGGAAGGCAGGGAGGAGGAGGAGGAGGAGGGGGAGGGGGGAGGGAGAGGGAGAGAGAGAGAGAGAGAGAGAGAGAGAGAGAGAGAGAGAGAGAGAGAGAGAGGTGGAAACACCAATGTGAGAGAGACACATCGATTGGTTGCCTCCCACAAGCCCCTGACCAGGGCCGGGAGCCTACAACCGAGTACATGCCCTTGACCTGAATCAAACCGGGGACCCTTCAGTGGCCGGCGCCATAGCCACTGAGCCAAACTGACCAGGGCGTATATTCAGTATTCTTATGCCAAAGACAAAGCTTTTAAATTCACCATTAAATTCTGTGAAAGATCCTCATGACCATATAAAGTTCTGCGAGGTCCACACTGAAAACACCTGGCTTGGAGCACTTAGCACAAGAGCTCTCCGGGATAAACAGCCAAATACTACAGCCTCATTGCTCGGCTCCACATAAAAAACCACTGAACAGACTTAAAGACAAACCCAACTTTTCTTGGGGCCTTGTTTTTATTGCTTTTGTAAAATAACTCTTTTCTAGGGACAGCCCACCTTCCCCCCACCCCAAATAAAGACTTTCTCCACTCTTCCACATGCAGACCTCCTCACCTTATAAACCTGAGCTCCAAAACCTAAAATGCAATCTCTTACAGGGCAGTGATCTTTGTTTCTGTTACAGGAGCATCCCAAGCAACTAGAACACCGTCTGACACAAACTAGGCCCTCAATAAATATTTGTTCAAAACCTGATTAAGTAGTGGATGGAGCTTACACAGTATGGCTGGTGAGTGGTATCAGCTAGTGCTGCTTCTACTCTAATGGGGATTGAACTGTATTTGCTTCTATTTCCAACAGACTCATGTTCAACTTTTACACACACACACACACACACACACACAAGCTGGGAAAATTTTATTACCCCTTTCAAAAAAACACACATTAATATAAAATGAATGAGCAGGTGTAAACCTCCTCTATGAAGCACTCCTTAGTCCCCTTGCAAATACTCAAAAACCCACCTGTGTGTTCCCATCGGGGAACTAAATGTTGAAACCTGCGAAACAACCCTTGCCCACCAACCAGAATTCCAACATTCTGGAAGCCATAACTTTAGTGAAAAGCCATAGCAAAACCAAATTCCTATCCCCTGGTTCGGATGCAGAGTGGTCCAACGTACAAGGGCACAATCCCTAAATGTACACAACCAAACTACATACATATGTGTCTCCGGAGCACGCAATCCCTTCGACTGCAGGGCTTCTCCACCCTCGAAGCACAGACCACATCACCACTCCCGCCCCATTAAATCAGGGTGGGTGGGAGGCAGGCCCCAGCGTTTGAAAGCTTTCCAAGTAGTTCCAAGTGCCGCCAAGTTTGAAAGCCACCTCTCCAGGCCACCTCCCCGGACAACTGCTTGCTTGCTCGCTCGTCTGTGTTTGCACGAAGAAGACCTCTGGGAAGAACCCCGAAATCTTAAAGGACATGCTCTTTTTTAGTCTCCTTCCACCCAAACCCCCTCTCCAACATCGCGAGCCACGTGGAAGGGGCCTCCCCGGCGTCTGTCGAGGCGTCGCGGCCACCGACCTACCTTAAGGCTACAGGTTTCCTCCTCTGGAGAAGCCATTTCCTCTAGAGAGGGGCTGGCAGGGCGCGGAGGGGAGCCCCCCGGCGGAAGGAAGGCCCGCGTGCTCCGAATCAGGCAGCCTTTGGCGGCAGCCCCGTCCACACCTGGGCCGGAGGACCGGGAGGAGGCAGAGGAGGAGGAGGAGTCTCGGCGGCGGGTGGCGTCCCAGGACACCTCGGGCGGGCAGGCCACATCGTCTCCCTTCTGGGCTTTCAGGCGCTTGGGGCTGCGGGCCCCGCCGGCACGCGACGCAGAGCTGGGAGCCGGCCGTCTGGAGGGGGCCACATCACCGGCCTCCCGGAGGCAGCTGCGCTTGCGGGGACGCCTTTCCGAAGGGCTGCTCCAGTGGTACTTGACCTTGCGCCGCTCCGACGCCATGGGCACCTGCGAGGGAAAGAGGAGGCCGGGAGTCCCCCACCGCCCCTCCCGGCTGCCCTCCTCCGACGCCCGCCATCCCGGGCCCGCCGGGCCAGGGCAAGCCCGCCGGCCAGCGCCAGGAGACAGCCTTACCGACCTTTCCCCCTTCTTTCCACTGCCCATCACAGTTCTCTCGGTTCCGGAGATGCCAAAGCGCTTCGGAGGAGTCGGACCACTGCAAGGTTTACTGCCGGCTTCGGTTCGGCTTCCAAGCCCACAACGTGTTTCCGCGATCACCAGACGCTTCAGTTTGCACAACGCGACTTCGGAGACGTCAAAGCGCTTCCGGGGCTACTCGGCGCTTTGATTTAGTTTGCAATACAAAGCCTTCGGAGATGTCAAAGCGCTTCAAAGACTACAGGCGCTTGAAGGTGTACACATGGCGGCCGGACCCGCGGCCCTTGGGCGGGCGCGCCGCCCTGAGGCCCCAGAACGCCGACGGCGGTCGCAGGGCAGGGCCGGACCCGGCGCGCAGCCCGCCCTGCTCCCGCGGCCCCGCGGACCAGCCCGGGCCAGAAAGGGGCCCGAGCCGCCCCTCAGGAGCCGGAGACTCCCGGGTCCGCCGCCTCGGAACCACCCCCGACTCGACCGGCCGCCCCTTCCGTCCCTGTGCCGCGCGGCCCAGACGTCGGCCCGCTGCCGCCCGCTCGCCGCCCGCCCCAATACTGCGGCCTCCGCCCGAGATCCGACTCCAAGGGCCTCCGCTGCGCCCGCCTCCCGGAACGAGCCCTGCGGCCCGCAGCCCGGCGTGCGGCGAGGCGGGTCCTGCGCCGAACTGAGGGCGCCTATTGCTCCCATCCACGAGGGGCGGGACTCCGAGCAAGACGGAGCTCGCCTGTTGGCCAGGAGGCTGGAAGGCGGGACCCTACGCCTTATGAAACTCGTCCATTGGTCGGAAGCGAGGTGAGGCGGAGCCACTCACGTGGGTCGGAGGAGCGCGAAGTTGAAGCCAAGGCCGCGCACTTCCTGTGGCCGCCCGCTCAGGAGGCAGGGGGCGGCCGCGGACCGGGATCCCGAGAGCCGCTCCCCGCTGCTCGGCGTGAACCCCTCAGCCCCGCGCGCTCAGATCCGCACATGCTCCTCAAACCTGCATCATCAACATCATCACCCCGTCCATATACAACGCAGGAAACTGGCTCAGAGAGACAAAGTGACCCACCCAGAAAGTAGCAGAATTAGAAGTTAGAAGCCAAGGGGAGAAAAAGAGACTACACGCAAATGTAAAATACCCGTTTGGCAAAAAATACCGAAGTCGAAAGACAAGAAAAATAGTTGAAACATATGACCAAGGTCTGATGGCCTTATTATGTAAAAACTATAGCAATAAGAGAATTCGTATTAAAATGGACAAAGGAATGAACATAAAGAAATTACGAAAGCCTAACAAAATATTTTTTAAATGGCTCTACTTCAGTCATTTAAAAAATACAAATAAAATTGTTTTCACCCATTAGATTGGCAGTGATTAAAAAGCATAAATGTTGCCCTGGCTGGTTAGAGCATCGTCTGGATACACCAAGGCTGTGGATTCAGTCCCCAGTCAGGTCACATACAAGAATCAACCAGTGAATGCAGGAATAAGTGGAACAACAAATCGACGTCTCTGTCTCTCTCTTGCTCTCTCAAGTCAATAAATATATATTTTTTATTTTTTTAAATATATATATTTTAAAAGCATGATAAGATTCTTTGCAACTGAGAATGTGGGGAAATACTACCCCATATGTCACTGAAGGACATGTAAGTTGGCACGAAGGCATCAGTATTTGTAGTGCAAGAATGAAAACAACCTCAGTTTGCAACATGCAAAGCTAGTTATATAAAGTGCAGACTATCCATGCAATGGACGATCAGGCAAAAAGAGTGAAGTGACCCAAATGTACTGTTGAGAAAGAATAGCCAAAAAAAAAACATGAAAAAACACAGAATCCAGAGCAGCGTGAATGAAATAACCCATGTAAAACAAAAAATAATAAAAAGAGAGAGGAGTGGAACCTCAAGATTTTTTTTTTAAATATATTTTATTGATTTTTCACAGAGAGGAAGGGAGAGAGATAGATAGTCAGAAACATCGATGGGAGAGAAACATCGATCAGCCGCCTCCTGCACACCTCCTACTGGGGATGTGCCTGCAACCAAGGTACATGCCCTTGACCAGAATCGAAACTGGGACCTTTCAGTCCGCAGGCCGATGCTCTATCCACTGAGCCAAACCAGTTAGGGCAAGATTTTTTTTTTTAATGCCTAAGATTGACCATTGTGTATTTTTGTGTTTCTAACAACTTTATTGAGATATAATTTATATACCATAAAATTCACCTATATATAGTTTGATGGGTTTTTAACATATTTTTTTAGTATATTTAGAGTTGTGCAACCATCACCATAACTATAATCTACTTTTAGAACAGTTTCATTACCCCCAAATCTTGTGACCATTACTACTTCCCTTCTCAACCTCCCCCACCCCCACTCCTAGTTTCTGTCTCTGTAGATTTGCCTGTTCTGGACAGTTCATAAAAATGGAATCATATATTTTACTTAGCAAAATCATTTCCAGGTTCATCCATGTTGTAGCATGTATCAGTACTTCATTCTTTTTTATGGACAATTTTTAATTAAAAAAATTTTTATTAATAATCTTCCAATGCATGGATATAGCACATTCTGTTTATCCATTCATCTGTTGATGAACATTTGGGTTGTTTCTACTTTCTGCTATTCTGAATATTGCTGTGAACACTGGTGCACAAGCTTTTGTATGGACATATGTTTTCATTTCTTTTAGATAGCTATCTACCAGTGGAATTGCTGGGTCATATGGAAACTACTAGTATATTTAACATTTTGCAGCTGAGAATGTGGGGGGAAGCAGCTCACCATTTTACAATTTCACCACCAAAGCATGAGGGTTCTAATTCCTCCACATTTTTTTTATCATTTTTTAAAATTTTAAACGTTTTTATCAATTTCAGAGAGAGCAGGAGAGAGATAGAAACATTGATGAGAGAGAAAGATCATTGATTGGCTGCCTCCTACACACTCCCTACCGCAACCAGGCATGTGTCCTGACCAGGAACCGAACCATGACCTCCTGGTTCATAGGTAGACACTCAACCACTGAGCCACGCTGGATGGGTATTTCTCCACATTCTTATCAACACTTTATTGCCTGTCTTTTTTATTATGGCCATCCTAGGTGTGAAGTGCTATCTCATTGTGTTTTTTATTTACATTTCCCTAATGACTAATGCTTACCTTAGTTCAGTCATCAATTAAATGGAGACTGCAGCCAAGATCAAAAGGTCAGGAATAAAAGACTTAGGAAAGGTCACCCAGAGCTAAGAAGTGTCATTAGAAACCAAAGCTAAGGTCATCCACACCCTCGTATTTTCAATTAGCATGTATGGATGCAAAAGTTGGACAAAGAAGAAGGCTAATAGGGAAGAAAACAAAAGAGTTAATTTGAATATGATGTTGGAGGAAAGCTCTACGAATACCCTGGACTACCCATGAGAAGCCAGGGTTCCTTGGAAAAGACAATAATGCTGAGAAAAGTAGAAGGCAGCAGGAAGAGAAAAAAGCCAAATATGAGATGGATTAACTCCATTAAAGGAGCCACAGACATGAGTCTACAAGAACTGGCAGGGCTGTTGAGCACAGGATTGTGAACATCACTCATTCATAGAATTGCCAGGAGTCAGAGCCAATTCAACAGCACGTAACACACACAATGACTAATGAAGTCCACCAATTAGATAGAAAGCTTTTTTCTAATCATCTCTGGAACTAGTAATAAATTAGTAACAGTGTTTGCCTTTGGGGAGAAGAAATGAGAGCCTAAGTTCCAATGGTTAAACGGCTTCCTTTCCATCAGGTGACCTTTTGTACTGGTTGGATTTTTCGCTCATATTCATCTTTAAAACGTCAGGCCATTCAACCCTCTGGGGATTCATGGAAAGGCACTGTGGTGCCCAAGAACCCCTGGAATTAATACACATAATTAATGATGTATGTGTATGTCTTTACAGCTTGCTGAAGGGAGTTCTGCAGCTTTAATCAGATTCTCAATGAATCTCTCCAGAAATATATGAAGCCCGAGTCTAGAAATGCAAGTATGTCTGGATAACCACTACCCTATTAGCATCTGCCCTCTATTGCTCAAGGAGCCATGTAAATACCCGGCTCATAATTATAAGGTGCTTTCCACATGCCACCGGAGCTTAAGACGGGGTGTCAGTACAGATCATTGTCCACCTGGGCTGGAGCCCACCTGGCTTTTTACATATCAGTACAAAGCTGACATTGCTGGGGGGCTGCTGAATGCTTTCACCAGCCAGAATCTGACCCTTGCTCTGACAGTAAACCTATGAAACAGGTACTTTTTATTCTCCCCATGGTATAGATGAAACAGAGGCTCAAAGTAATGCCCTAACTTAGCCCAAGGTGACACAGCTATGAACAGCCAGCATTTACAGCAAGCACACAATCTCTTAGCTACCCTACCATACCCCGGCTCATGGATGCAGAGCGACTTCTCCAAACAAATTCATCTGGACACAAAACTAATGACAAGATACAGGTTGACTTTATCAATGTATATTTATTTTATAAAAATAAAAGGGAAAATATCACTATAGTAGGATTATTTAAAATAGGGCACACTGAATATAAAAGAACATTTGTTTCACCAAAAAATCTGCAACATGACTTTTCAGAAATATACCCACTGCATAAACATTAGGTACATGGCAGAAACAGATGTTTAATGTCTTTTTATTTCTTTATTTTATAAAACAGGACAAGTGCATTTTCAAAGTACTTCTATAGCTATGTCTCACCTATTCTTCCCAACAGCCCAAGGAGGGAGAATGAACAGGTGTTACTTACAAGGAAACTGAGGTTCCAGAAATTACATGATTGACTTAATTAGCAGCAGAATCAGAATGAAACCAGTTCTTCTGATTTTTCATCCAGCTATAAATAACACATATTCTCAAAATAAAAGCTCCATCAGAAATATTAGCATTAGTGGGATGGGGGGATAAAGGTGTAGACAGACATTAAATAAATATATGTGGGTTGCAAGATTTCCAAAAAAGAAAGCAGAAAGCCTACAGAGTCCTTTGCCAGGTGTCTGGCCTTTGTGAAACTTGAGACCTTGAGACGTGCATCAAGAACTGCATTGGGACACAAGGTGAAAATCTTTCAGGTCACGGAGGTTTGCAGGCGGTCGTTGGCAAATATGACCCAGAGATTTTAACTTTGGAAAGTGCCGTCAGCATTCAGAACGCTCTGTCAGTTGTTGAGGGGTGAGAACAGGGTAACGGCATCTGCTGGGGCGCTTAACGTCACATCCTCCCCTAAACCACGAACCTGCCCACATCCTGGGCCCATGTACCAGGGTTTCCCCTTCCACCTCCTGATGATACCCAGCTCTGACTAACAAATCCCAGAACGGAAGAGGACTTCATGGATTTTGCTTTCTCTAAAAGCTGAGGTCCCTTCTCCCTACACTTACTCTGGAAATTGGAAGTTTCCCTTCCCCCCAGGTAGGCTGACGTTTGGTTTGTAGTTCCTGGGAGACCTTGGATTTTGCCCCAAATCTTTTTCTTGATTTGACAGTTGTCTTTCCACTAGAGGACAAGGGTCCTCAGCTGTGTTCTGGTAATCAGGGGCCAAAAAGCACGATGCTGTCCAGTTTCTCCTCTTTGTAGAGCAGGATATTCTCCATCAGCTTCCTTTTGGCCTCGTTGATCTCGATTTTCCACGAAGTCTCTGTAGTTGATGTTCAATAGAAAGTTTTTTTTTAAAAAGCCACTTGAACAACACGCATTTGGAAATAGGTACTACTATTCTAATTCTTAGAAAGCCAGGCTTGGTCACAGTTTCTCACTTAAATCAGGTTTCTGAATCTGAGTGTAATGAGCATTTTCATCATTTCTGCCTTTGCAGAAGAGAAGAGGGGGCTCTCATGCGCCTCCCCACGGGGGAAGAGGGTGGGGGTGGAGTGAGCACTTACACCCTCTCTCTTCCTCTCTCTTCCACAAGGGAGGAGGAACAATAGGCATGGTCAGAGCCTGGGACATTCACTGAGCTGTGTTTACTCGGGGACAAGGCATTGAAGAGGCTTTCCAAACTTAATTTCAGAAGGAAGCCTCGTATATTTGGATAGAAGGTATCTTTTTTTTTTTAAATATATTTTATTGATTTTTTACAGAGAGGAAGGGAGAGAGATAGAGAGTTAGAAACATCGATGAGAGAGAAACATCGATCAGCTGCCTCCTGCACACTCCCCACTGGAGATGTGCCCGCAACCAAGGTACATGCCCTTGACCGGAATCGAACCTGGGACCTTTCAGTCCGCAGGCCGACGCTCTATCCACTGAGCCAAACTGGTTACGGCTAGAAGGTATCTTTAGAAGCAGCTGGCGAGGATGGGTTCATATTATGAAGCGAGGATGGAGAAGTGGACAGGGACAAACCACACAGGACCTTGCTGGTCTGGAGGAAGAGTTCCGACTTGGTCCCTAAGTGCAATGGGGAGCTACCCAATGGCTTCAACAAGGAGTGCCATGAGTTGTTTTTAAAAGCCACTTTTTCCAGGTTGACTCCTGGAAGAAGGACTGGTGAGGGGCCAGAGTGGATCAGGGAGGACAAGGGAAGGCGTGCAGCATTCTAGCAAGAGGACAGTAGCACAGATGAGTTAGGGGGATGGGTGCAAAGTAAAGAAGCAGATGGACCCGAGAGATATTTAGATCAGTGGCTAGGACTCGGTGATGGACAACATAGCGGGGCTGGAGAGAGTCTGCAGTCGGATGGCAGGTGAATGGCTGAATAACCAAATGAATGTGTGAATAAGGGCGATGGAAGGAATAAATGGTGGGCTGAGTCAGGGATATATAAATGTGTATAAACATTCAGATCCCCACACACTTACCATCCTGGGGAGGCTCTGGACTGGTACAGGCCTCAGAGGAGGAGTCAGCCTGCATTCCCCCACTGGCCTGCATCCTGCCTTCTCTGTCCTCTGTGGGGGCAGGCGAAGCAGAAACCCCAGACCAGGGTGCTGTCCTCAAGGAGGAGGAGGCATCGAGGCTAGAATTGTCTACATCGTCCGTTTCTTCTGGGATGTTGGAGGAAGAGCCTGTGCTCTCAGAAAGCCCACCCCAAGGAAGCGATGTCTCCTGACCTCTGAGCCGCTCTTCCACAGCAACCACAGTGCCACACACCTTGGAGAGGAGAGAGACAAGAACACTCACCAAGAATTCTTTCTGAAATAAAAAATCTAACAGGTCCCTTAGGCCTCAAAAGAAAAAGACACTGAAGAATCAAATGCTTGTTGCTTTGGCCTTGAAGAACAGCGTCCTTCTTTTGAAAAGAGCTGAAGTTGCCCCCATCTACCCTAGCTATAGATAAGACCACATGACCAGAGTGAACCAATCACAGTATCCCATTCCTCTAACCTCAATGATTGGTTCAGGTTTGGGCACATGACTAGTGCAGGCCAATCAAAACCCTTCTCTGGGATTTTTCCCACCTAAAGCTTTCTAGTGACATAGCCAGATTTTCCACCATGCACAGAAAATCCATTTATAATAGGTGAAAATGAAGCCCTAACACAGAGTAAAGCAGAGGCAAAAGATGGAGAGAAAGAGTCACGGGCACTGACACAGATAGTTGCACATTTTCTGGTTGAGACCCTGATTCTAGCTACCCTAGCAGTGCCTGTCCTGTCTGCAGTTTAGTTAAATGAGCTAATAAATGCATTCATTCATTCACTTGTTCACATCACCCCCATCTCACTCCCTTTCTCCTTCTCTCTCTCTCTCTCTCTCTCTCTCTCTCGTGTGTTTCTAAGAGTTTGAGTAGAGTTTCTATCACTTTCAACTAGAAATGCCCAAAATAATATAGATACCGTCCTTGAGAGCTCTTCTGGTTAGGGAAGTTAGGAAAATTAGAGAAAGGCAGGGAAGGAATGTTTCTTCTTTACACACAAACACACACAATGGGCCTAAAACATACATACCCTTAACAACCCTAACAAATCTCATTTGCTCGGTGCCTTGCAATTTACAAACCACATTTGACACATGATGCACAATGAGTTTTTATAGATAAAAAAAAAAATTAATAGATCAAAGAGGTTAAATTCCCTGCCTAAGGCCACTCAACTAGTAACCGGCAAAGCTGACCACTGAACCCAGTCCTCCTTGTCTTAAAGTCCATGACCCAATTGATCTCTCATCTTAAAGTGCTCTGCCCCCTTTATTCTACATTGCAAATGCCTCCTCAACCTTCAAGGCCCAGTTCAAATGTCACCTCCTGAGAGAAATCTTCAGAGTATATGCCCAATAAATACCTGCCACACTAAAAACTACATTCCTCTGTAGCTAGGTATGGCCATATCACGAGGTTCTAGCCTATGCAGTGTGGGAGAAAGTGACATGTGCATTTCCAGGTCACACCTTTAAAAGGAAGGGGATGTGTTCTCCTCTTCCTTTTAACCCCTTTCAGTTGCTGGCAGATGTGATGACCTGAGCTAGAGCAGCCATCTTGGTCTCTGAAACAGAAGCCACACAGTAAGGACAGCAGAGCAACAATATGGGAGCCTGGGTCCCCAATCCTGTGGCACTGCCACGTCAGCTCTGGACTGCCTACATTCAAACTCGTAAGCTAAAGAGAATAATCTTCTATCTCCAAACTACTGTATTTTGGAGTCTCTTCATTATAGCAGTTTCTTCAAGCACTTTAACTAATACACTGAACAAAAAATAAACCTAACGGAAGGCTGAATGAAAGAATAAGTGGTTGAGGAGAAAAATATTTTTAGAACGTAAATCTTATTATGCCCTGCCCCTGCTTAAGCCCATAGTGACTTCCTCAAAATCCTGACTGTGCTTGCACAACCTCTGTTATTGGCCACTCATCACAGACTCATCACAAGCCACTCTGCCCCAAGTACTTTGTGTTCCAGACTCTCTGACCTTCTTCTCTCTTGACCTTGCCAAGCTCTCTCCCAACTCACGCCACATATTTGCATGAGCTGTTACTTCTGCTTGGACAGCTCTTCATCAGCTTACACTTCCTAGGGAAAGTCCTCTTTGGTGGGGCCCCTGTCATACACTATCCCAGAGCTCACCACACTGTCAATTACTGAGCAATGTCTGTGATTTCCAGGAAAGTAGAACTGGCCTTGTTCACTGATATATCCCCCCGTCCCCAGCACACAACTGCTGAATGAATGACTGAACACTATTGCACTAGAGCAGGGGTCCTCAAACTACGGCCCGCGGGCCACATGCAAATACAAATATTGTATTTGTTCCCGTTTTGTTTTTTTACTTCAAAATAAGATATGTGCAGTGTGCATAGGAATTTGTTCATAGTTTTTTTTAAAACTATAGTCCGGCCCTCCAACGGTCTGAGGGACAGTGAACTGGCCCCCTGTTTAAAAAGTTTGAGGACCCCTGCACTAGAGCATAGAATAGCTCAGGCTTAGAACAATGACTGGGGTCTCTAGTTCCTGCCACATCATGGAGCAAGATGATGATGGACATGAGGCTGAACCAGGAGTCCAGAGAGCTCTGACAGAAACTTACTCTGTGGCCTCATCATCTGCTCTCTCTGGGCCTCTACGTCCCCATCTATAAAATGGGAGGCTTGTGCTATAGCAGTTGTGTTTGATGAAGACTTTTGGCAGCTATCACAAACCCTATCCTATATAATAAAAGGGTAATATGCAAATTGACCCTAACAGCAGAACGACTAGGAATGACTGGTCACTATGACACACACTGACCACCAGGGGGCAGACACTCAATGCAGGAGATGCCCCCTGGTGGTCAGTGCACTCCCACAGGGGGAGCTCTGCTCAGCCACAAGCCAGGCTGATGGCTGCCAGCACAGCAGTGGTGGCGGGATTCTCTCCCACCTCCTCAGCAGCGCTAAGGATGTCCAACTGCAGCTTAGGCCTGCTCCCTGCTGGCAAGTGGACATCCCCTGAGGGCTCCCAGGCTGCCAGAGGGATATCTTTCTGCCAGCTTAGGCCCAATCCCCCGGGGAGTGGGCCTAAGCCAGCAGGTGGACATCCCCCGAGGGGTCCCAGACTGCAAGAGGGCACAGGCCGGGCTGAGGGACCCCCCGAGTGTACAAATTTTTGTGCACTGGGCCTCTAGTATAATTATAAGAAGTTAAAGTGGTATCTGATTGAAGCCACAAGTGGGGCCTACAGCTCCCCATAGTCCTCTTGCTGCCAACAGCAACTCCTGAGGTACTTTCAAGGAGTGCCAGACACCACTTGAAAATCATTCAGCTAGATTATCTCTAAGCCCTCTCAAGCAGTAATTTTGACCTTAAAAAGACCAGGCAACAGTGTCCAAATTTATACCTATTACCATGGAAACCACCTTTACATATCCTAGCCATAAGAATATGTTTTACCTCCTGTGGTGGTTAATTTCTGGGGTGTCTGCCTAGCCCACAAGCTAAAAATGTTCCCTTTCTCTAGGGCCTGGCCCCTTCTCCTTTCAGGAATTGACTTCCCCTGACCGCCAGGTTTATATACCTGAACCTGTGCCCCTCATCTTACCTGACTGGCCAATGGGGCCAGCCTGACCCTAGCTAGATGTTGGAATGGGGACCTGGAGACTTGGTCTCTCCATGGGGCAGAACTATAACATATAAGTGAATATGGCCATATCCCCTAACCAAGAAAATAAAGAAAAAGAGAAAGGGGGCCTACAGAGACAAGAGGAGGAATAAGGCAGGTTCAGCAAGAGCACCAGAGTTCTGTTAATAACCAAGGGTGTGGCCTGGGCCCCTCAGGCCCGCAGCACATGGCCCTCAGGCTCGTAAGACACCCTTATCCATATACGGCCCTGTTTTGCTGATGTAAGTTCCAACATGTTCTGCTACTTCCAACCAAATACAGCCCTGGTTTATGAGATCACATCTCAGTGAAGGGATCAACCCTGAATCTTCACCTAGTCCCTGATAAAGCAAACCCATGCAGCCTTGGAAGTGAGACCCAGCTGACCCAGGACAGAGCTCATGGCTGGGGAAAGGCTGAGAATCAAGCTCACCTCTGCCAGGCTGGCATTCCGCCTCCGCAGGCAGAGGCAGACGGCCGTGGCCAAAGCCTCCGCACAGTCTTCCGGCAGAACCCCTGCTCTCTTCTCCAGGTATTTCTGGCAGATCTCCTTAGCCATCACTTTCTCCACACCTGTCTTCCTGGTGCTACTTGGAATTTCATGGAGGAGTAAATCCTTCTGTGGAAAAATAGTGGAAACACCCGAGTGAGCTTCAGGAGTGTGGGATCCAAACAGCAAAAACTTCTCAGAAAACCAACAGGATTTTAAAAATAAATTCAAGGATCCCAGAAACAAGCTAAATGCCCTGCATGTACAGGGCATTCCATAGCACACTAAAAAATACCACAAATGCAATGGCTTAACCTTTCTAGGTAGGCCTCAGTTGATTCATCAGGGAAATGGGGATAATAGGACTAACAGAAAGATTAAACGACATAATGCATCTAACGCAAAAAGTGTAATACTTGACTAAACATTCAATAGTTTGAGTGATAATAAATAGTAATAATAGCTATCTTTCGTTTATTTTTTAAATATATTTTTATTGATTTCAGAGAGGAAGGGAGAGGGAGAGAAATAGAAACATCATTGATGAGAGAGGATCATGGATCAGCTGCCTCCTGCACGGCCCCTAGTGGGGATCGAGCCTGCGACCCAGGCATGTGCCCTTGACCAGAATCAAACCCGGGACCCTTCAGTCTGCAGGCTGATGCTCTATCCACTGAGCCAAAACCGCCAGGGCTATCTTTCATTTATAAAGTATTTACTACATACTGAAAACTTACATTAATAATTTGATCTTATTAACAATTACAGAGACAGTCTCTTACAATATAAAATAAACATTTTAGGATTTTCACCCATGAGGGTAAAAACTTTACCTTACTCACCTCTGTATCTCCTGCACCAAGAACAGTGCCTGGCACATAGTCAGTGCTTCAGAAATGTTTTCACAAATTACACATAACTTATTTTTTGGCTAAGTTTCATCTTTTAATTTTTATGTAATTTTATTTTATTTATTTTTAATTTATTTTTTGTCAGGGAGGGGGAGAAGAGAGAGAGAGAGAAATATCGATGTGAGAGAGATACATTGATTTGCTGTCTCCCAAACACGACTGAGGATTGAACCTGAAACCCAGGCACATGCCCCTGACTAGGAATAGAACCTGTGACCCTTCAGTTTGTGCAGGCCAATCCTCCAACCACTGGCACTGGCCAGGGCTAATTTATTATTTTTAAGAGAAATTATTCATTAAATATAAAACAATTCATCTTTATTGCTTTATATAGCTTCTCATATAAATACACTTACAATTTAGAAAAAAAGATTATACACATTTGTAATACCTTAACTAATAAAGAATTTTTTAAAAAGATTATATCAGAGATTATTAGACATGGGTTATGATATTTGTATCAAAAATAAAACAAGAGTCCCCACTCTGCCTCAGTTTCCTTCTCCAGAAAATAGGTTATCTGAGGATCCAATAATACTTAAATGCTTGACCCCATCAGAAGCTGAATGCCTAGAGACTAAAAACTTCTCGCTGGCAAGGGCTGCATATTTGAATACCCTTTTGCATAATTCTCTCATGTGAGCTCTGCCTTTTAAATGTTTGTTCCTTTAAAAAGCGTATTGTTTACAGATATGAAGGTGTCCACCGTGTCCAAAGTGAATGCCCTGAAAAGAACGACAGATGGAGATGCTCACCATTTGACTACCCCCAACAAAATCATGGATCTCATCTAGCAACAGTCATCAAGAGAAGCTGAGAACACTCGGTGGCAGGGTGCTGGAGGAACTTAGTAAGGAAGGAATCAGCACATCCACCTGAACCTACTGATGAAGCTCAGCACTGAAAGTAGGACCACCTGTGACGTGCCTCGTGTTGCCATGCTACGGGAAGTACACAGCACCACCCAGGAAGTAGCACTGACCATGAATCTGACCTAGTCTCAGAACTGACTACAATGTACAGGAAACATGAGGAATAGAGAAACAAGGATACCGCAAGGACGTAATCACCTAAAGCTGGGCGTAGAGAGTCCATAGGAAGAATGACCCACTTTCTGCAGAAATGCAATGATACACACAAAGGAAAGGGGGGAGAGGTACAGTTAGAGAATAAAAATGTCTTAAGGAACATAACCAAAGGCAAATATGGAGCTTGCCTGGATCCGTTTCAAACAAAACAACTTTTAAAAAGCAATTTTTGAGGGGGGTGGGAACGGTCGGGGAGAGGTCAATGGGGGGAAAAGGAGACATGTAATACTTTAAACAATAAAAAATTTTAAAAATAAAATAGAAAGCAATTTTTGAGATGATTTGGGAATTCTAAATATAGAATGGGTATTAAATAATATTTAAAAATTTAGAAAACTATTATATGGATGCAATAACACAATATCTGAAATTTACTTTAAAGTACACACACAACAGTCCTAGCCGGTTTGGCTCAGTGGATAGAGCAGTGATGGCGAACCTATGACATGCGTGTCACACTCATTTTTTTGGTTGATTTTTCTTTGTTAAATGGCATTTAAATATATAAAATAAATATCAAAAATATAAATCTTTGTTTTACTATGGTTGCAAATATCAAAAAATTTCTATATGTGACACGGCACCAGAGTTAAGTTAGGGGTTTTCAAAATGCTGACATGCTGAGCTCAAAAGGTTCGCCATCACTGGGATAGAGCGTCAGCCTGGGACCTTAAAGGTCCCAGGTTCGATTCCAGTCAAGGGCACATGCCCGGGTTGTGGGCTCAATCCCCAGTGGGGGACTTGCGGGAGGCAGCCAATCCGTGATTCTCTCTCATCATGGATGTTTCTATCTCTCTCTCCCTCTTCCTTCCTCTCTGAAATCAATAAAAATATATTACAAATGAATAAATAAAGTACACACACACAAAGTTTTGGGCGGTGCAAAGAAATAAGAACAGCATGATTTGATAACTGATGGGATGGATACACAAATATTCTTTATATTCTTTTCTTTACATTTGAAATTGTCCATAATAAAAAGGGCTTTTAGGAACTAGCCATGCCTACCCATAGAATGGAATGGGAGTGGGGGGAGAGAGAAACATCAATTGGTGGCCTCCTGTCAACCAACATCAAGTCAGAACCCGCAACCTGGGCATGCGCCCTGACTAGGAATCAAATTCACCACCTTTTTGCCCTAACGGGTTTGGCTCAGTGGACAGAGCATCAGCCTGCCGACTCAAGGGTCCCAGGTTCAATTCCGGTCAAGGGCATGTACCTTGGTTGCGGGCACAACCGCAGTGGGGGGTGTGCAGGAGGCAGCTGATAGATGTTGATGTTTCTAACACTCTAACCCTCTCCCTTCCTCTCTGTAAAAAATCAATAAAATATATTTTAAAAAACTTTAAAAAAAACACACACAAAAAAAAAACTCATCACCTTTCTGTGTGTGGGATGACACTCCAAACAACTGAGCCACACCAGCCAGGGCAAAACTAGGTTTTTTAATCAGTGATATCCTTCACATTTTAGAAACCATTAACAGAAAAAACCTTCTAGCAAATTTCATAGAAATGCCTACAAAGCCTCTTTCTCCTATGACATTCACCCGGGAGCCCCAGAGGGCTGCTGAGAAATCCATCTTGAGAAAACTGTCAGGAGATGAGAAATTGCCCCAAACTACCCAAACCACATCCAAGCTGCTTAAACTGACCTCTTTGTGGTATCTGGAGCTCGGTGCCCAAAGGGGCGGAGCTCAGAGAGCTCAGTAGAGGGACAAGTTGTGACTTTCTGTGTATAGGGGAGGCCTTCAGCTCTCCACCCTAAAGCTCAGGGAATGCTATTGGGGCCCAGTCACAAAGAGCCAGCTGCTCCACTGGCCTCAACATCAAGTCAGAAAAGGGGTTCCCCTCGCAAACTGATGCAGAGGGCCAGAGCTTGCCAGAATTTCGATCTCTGCCAAAGACATGGGTTCAAATCTGTTTGACCACCGATCTCACTGAGGAGCATGAGACAAGTCTCTTCACCTTGGCCTTGGTTTTTTTCATCCGTAAAATGGGGATGATGATACTACTGAATTCATATGGTTGGACTTCCATGGGAATTAAACAGTCAAAAGTGTCAGGGTTGAGAACTCCAGGATCTGCAATCCAGAAGACCTGACTCGGAATTCCTGCTCTGGCATTCAGTACAGCTGAGATTTCAGGCAAACCGCAGAGCTGGCTTTCCTCATCTACAGGTGAACATAATGCCTCTATCAATCTCATAGGGATTCTGAGATGACTTAGAAAGGTAATTTATGGGCCTGGCCTGCGTGGCTCAGTAGTTGAGCGTCGATCCAGGAACCAAGAAGTTGCTCATCAGCAATCAATGATTCTCTCTCATCACTGATGTTTCTATATTTCCCTCTCCCTTCCTCTCTCTGAAATCAATAAAAACATATCTTTAAAAAAAAAAAGGAAGATAATTTATGGAAGGTGCTAGAGTCAAGCTGTGTTGTTATATTTTTGAAATGACACTATACCTATGATAGTTCTTTGAACCTACCAAATATGGAAGTTATTGAATTTATTATAGAAACCCATTTAAAAAGCCTGAAACTAACTTACCAATTTGAGGACAACCCTATTTGATTGCCTGATGTGTAGAGAGAAGAAATGAGTTTTCCTTAAACATTCTCAATTCTATTATATCATGAAAAAGTAATTGTTAGCTGGCAGGTGGGTGTGGGAGATTAAAGCTACTTTGCACGGATGCAAATCAAACCCTGGTCTGAGACCTCATTAGCATCTGTAAAATGGGTCCCCTCCTGACCCCTCGTGGCTGTGAGGCCCAAACATACCAACCAGCCAGAAGTGACTGGTTTCCTTACCAGGTAAACTGGGCTTCGGTCGTGATCCATCGCAGGGATGCCAGTGAGGACCTCAGCTAACACCTGCAGAGAACATGGAGTTAGCACAGTTCACACACTCATGTACATGTCAAGAGAGAAGCTTCTTCTCAATAATACAGTCTGAGCTCCAGGCTCAGCTCTGCCATTTGCCAGCAGAGACACATGCCCAAAGTCTGGAACATGAGACCCAGTGCTTATAGAAGGTTCGAATTAACTGATAGCAAGGTAGGGAGGATGGAAACCAAATGTGTGTGTATTATCATCAATTATACATATATATACACACACACACATATATATGCACACTTATATATATGTATACATAAACTATATGCATATACACATACAGGGTGGGGAAAAAGTATGTTTATGGTTTTTTTGTATGGAAAATAATACAATAATTAATAAATAATAATACAAGAATAAACTCTGTTTCACATACAACTGTAAACCTACCTTTTCCCTACCCTGTATAATATACACACAATATATATATATACACATGCATATATCTCTATATTTATCTACATACACACATACATATGCACACACTATATTTTAAAGATAATTTCATTTTTAAAAAAATCAGAAATGGTAAGCAGGCATTGCTACATCAATCTCAAGAAAGGGGAATCCATGTGCATATATGTATTCTACGCAGAAAATCTCAGCAATATTTATAGCATGTTTCATCCATATGCCTTTTTTAAAAAACATGTTTTTACTGATTTTAGAGAAAGAGGAAGGGAGAGGAGAGAGATAGAAACATCAAAGATGACAGAGAAAATCAATTGGCTGCCTCCTGCAAGGCCCCCTATTGGGGATTATGTCCTGACCAGGAATCGAACCATTGACCTCTTGGTGCACGGGACGACCCTCAACCAACTGAGCTACACTGGACAGACCCATTATGCCTTTCTTAACATTATTTGTTCATTAAATCATCCACTCACAAAAGGAGCAGAGACCCGAGCCAGTGTAAGCCACCAAAAATTGATTAACAGCGGTATGTGTTTTAGTAAATGGGAAGCCTGCTTTGAACAGAAATTCTTGGCAGAGATAGCAGCATGGTGGTTAAGGACTCTACAGTCAGACAGACCTGGCTTCAAATTACTTTGTTCCTTATACGTGCAGGTGATTTTTAGGCAAGTGACTAAAATGAGTCTGTGTCCTCATCTGGTAAATGAGGATCTAGCAGTAGTGAATATAAGGGACTGAGTGTCAAATCTCTCTTCCACAGCCCCTCTAGAAGCAACTTATAATAGGTTCCCTTTTATGCCAAGAAATCCTCTACTCCAGAGAAAAGGCCACTAGGTTAATAACAGAAAGGCAGTGGCCAGGAGGGGGCAGTAGTGGGCATCCCTGCAGCCAGTGGACAGGAGACCATTGAAAAGACTCCCACCAGCAGTGTCAGAAAAGAAGAGGAAATAAATACACAAACATTTCCTCTGTCTCCCCTACATGCAGGCTCTACGCAAGGCTCTTTATAGAGGTCACTGAGTGCTCACCAAAAAACACATACAAAACACTGAGAAATGCAGTGTTCCCAATAAGAGAAACCAAAGTTCAAAATCATACTGTTAGTCAATGGCAGGGCTGAGAAAGAGTGCAGGGAGCCAGTGGGCACTGAATGAATGATTGAATGAATGAATGAATGAACGAATAAGGAAGTCAATTGCTACATTAAGAGCTGAGTTAAAAAGTCAAGAGTAAACAGAAATCAGGAATGATGGTACAAAGGTAGGAATAATAAAACAAACCACTATCATCATCATCATCATCTTGATATTTGTAAAGTACTATGCTAACCAGGTATATATATTACCTTATTAATCTTCATATATATAATTTACTCCCCATTTTACAGAGGGCAAAACTGAGGTCCAGAGTTATAGGTGATGTGCCCTAGGTCACACAGCTGAAAGTAACTGAGCTGGGACCCAAATCCATGCTCTTAACCTCTGCACTACAGTGCCTGGTGGTTTTGGGGTTCAGTCCCCCTAGGTCTTACAGAAGCAGGAGCCTGGGGGAGCCCTGATGAGCTTCACTGAACCACCCAGTGAGGCTGACAGGGGCAAGGAAACCAGAAGAGCCCATGAGCTAGGAGACAGAAGGAAGCAAAATCTTACATGTGTTTGTCAGGCTAAGGGCAGAAGGTGGCTCAGGGGGAGGGCACTAGTTAGTAGGAGAGGTGGACAGCCAGGGGGTTGGGGTCAGAGAGAGGAAGTATAGAGTTGAAGGCTGGAGAGGAAGAGAGAAGGCAAGGTCCAAAATGCAGTTTGCTTGTTCTTGGCAGATGTCAACCAGGGACTGTCACTTTTCTCAGCCAGTATTTCCTAGACCAGTTTCCATGGGACATGGATGCTGAGAGATACTGAAAAAATAAGGTTCAGTTATCAAAATAATTTGGGAAACACAGCATACTGCTTGCCCAGCTGTGGTAAATCCACAATGATCAGATTAAGAGCTCATTATCATATTAAAGGCTCTGATTAATTTTGTGGTAAAGAAATCTGCTTGACTTTGATTAACCCAGATTTCTCAAACATATTTGCCCCCAAAACCTTTAAACACACCAAACCTACAGAGATCTCAAGGAATTGGTGTTCTGTAGAAATATACACTGGAGACTATTTTCAGACCATGAACTCCTGGGGGAGGGATTGTGTTTAAGTTACATTGGTAGTCTACACAAATTCTACACATAGTAATACAGTAATGCCAGACAGATGGTGGTGAGGATGAGTATATGGATAATGAATAGATGCATAACTGATGGATGGATGGATGGATGGATGAGTGGATAAATGTTGAATGAATGATGATTGGAAAGATGGATGGACAGATGGACAAAAAAGATGAATGAATAAACAAGGACAAACACAACTGGATAGAAAATTAGACGGCTGGCTGGGTGGGAATCAGGGAAGTCAGGAGATGATATCTATAGCTTACTACAATTTGGACACTCATGAGGGGCTTTACTTCAAGGGTTGGCAGATTTTTTTCTTTAACAGGCTAGAGAGTAAATATCCTATATAATAAAAGCCTAATATGCAAATCGACTGAACGGCGGAACAACCGGCAGAACAACCGGTCACTATGATGCACACTAATCACCAGGGGGCAGACGCTCAATGCAGGAGCTGCCCCCAGCCCGCAGGCCCCAGGCCAGCCAAGGCGGGTGCCAGCAAGGGCCCCCCAATCGCCCTGCCAGTTGCCCCACAGATCAGCCCTGATCGCCAGTCAGGCCTAGGGACCCTACCCATGCATGAATTTCATGCACCAGGCCTTTAGTTTTAAATATATTTTTATTGATTTCAGAGAGAGAAAGGGAGAGGGATGGAGAGAGAGATAGAAACATCAATGATAAGAGAGAATCCCACTGGGGATCGAGCCTGCAACCCAGGCATGTGCCCTGACCAGTAACTGAACTGCGACCTCCTAGTTCATAGGTTGACGCTCAACCACCAAGCCACGTCAGCTGGGTGAGAGTATATATTTTAGGTTTTATGGGCCACAAATCAAGTCTCTGTCACATATTCTTCCTTTTTTTAAAAAAAATTATTATTTAACTGAGGCCCGGTGCACAAAATTCGTGCACGGGGGGTGGGTCCCTCAGTCCAGCCTGCACCCTCTCCAATCTGGGACCCCTCGGGGGATGTTCGACTGCTGGTTTAGGCCTGATCCCTGTGGGCAATCCGGGACTGCTGGCTCTAACTGCTCACCTGCCTGTCTGCCTAATTGCCCCTAACCACTCTGCCTGCCTGCCTGATTGCCCCTAACCACTCTGCCTTCCAGCCTGATCGCCCCTAACCGCTCTCCCCTGCTGGCCTGATCGCCCCTAACCGCTCTCCCCTGCTGGCCTGATCACCCCTAACTGCTCTCCCCTGCCAGCCTGATCGCCCCTAACTGCCTCTGCCTCAGCCCCTGCCACTGTGGCTTTGTCCAGAAGACGTCCAGTCTAATTAGCATATTACCCTTTTATTAGTATAGATCTTTTATGAATATAAAAACTATTCTTAGCTGTGGGCCATAGTTAGCCAACCCCTACTGTACTTTGATGTAACATATCTATGAGCCTCTATCATAGCCTGTGCTTACACAGGAGTCAGGGAAAAGACAAATGAGTATAGGCCCCCCTCAGCAGAGAAGGAAACTCTTACTATTCCACAGCTAAAGATGTCCACTCGCTTTGTCAACTGCCCCACTTTGATGAAATCTTCTGGCAGATATGCAGCTGAGGCCTGGAAAAGATGGGTCTTCATCCTGGTATATTTTGACCTTTTATTGTCAGGACACAGGTGAGACTTTGGATGAGCCAGCATGGGGGTGAAGTTTTGATCTAGCAAAACATTGGAGCTGTGGAAAAGAAAACAGAGAGAACCTTTTCATTTGGGGCTGGACAAGAAGAGGTTGCCATGGAGACGCTTTTGGGAAACAACTCAGCAGTGAGCTGCAGTAAGTTAGGGTGACTGAAACCCTCAACATAGAGTTTCTGAGAGAGGAGCCCACTCCGACAAGCCAATGAAGATGGAGCTAAGATTAATCCTGCTGCCTTGAGAATGGCATTCAGTGTGGTCAAAGAGGTGCAGCCATCCTGATCCCCACAGATGTCCACCCCAATCACCCCAGCTGGCCAAGCCCATATAGGCTGTGTTGGCTCAGTCCCTCTGAGGCTGTTCCAACCCCCAGCTCTGGCCCAGCTGACTCAAGTCTAAGGGCCAGCATCCTTCGTGACTGAACCTGTCCAGATTGTAGAAAATAAGAGCAATAAAAATATTCTTGAACCTAGTCATCTAAACCATGGGAGTGAACTCTCAGAAAGTACTCCAAAAGGGAGGGGGGACAAAAAACTCAGCTATGTGTACAAATATTCAATACAGAACTAACCCTCTGATAGTTTTTTAAAAAGTAGACACCAATTCTAATGTCCACTATTAGGAGTGGGTAAGTAAATTATGGGTAATCCGTGCAATGGAAGACTAAGAAGTCACTGGAAATGTTGACATGCAATGTGGGAAAATGTTTACCATATTTAAGTGAAGCAGGGGAAGAGAATATGAAATGGTAACCAGGTAACTGGGCTACCTTAGGGCCAAGACTTCTGTGTGGGAAGGGGCTGAGAAAAGAAACAGAAAAATGGGGGCCAACTGATGAGTCAGGGACGTGAGCCAGGACGACCCGAGTCCTTCTGTTTCCTGTCTTGCTATTACTGTTGTTTGTGCAACCAAATAAGAATCAATGGGGAGAGACAAAAAAGGGGCTTCCCCTTGTCAAATGGAGAGAGGACTTTTGGGGAAGTGTGGGTTCTATGGTTTCAAGCTCAATTTTGCCGAATTCTCTGATATCTTCTGGAATCTCTTCCCATGTTGCCAGTCCCCAAATGCGGAACTCTTGCTCTTGGATGGTTGGGACGTGATAGCTGGGGTGTACACTAACCAGCAGGAAGCTCCCTAACACGAGTTACTTTCACCAACAGGTATACAAGCGGGGGAGGGGGTCTCCAAGAAGACCCTGAGCACAGAGCTCAAAATCCCAGGGGAATTGGCAGATATGACACAGACTTCAAGGACCAGGTGCAGACCAGCTGGACAGGTGGAAAGTAAACTACATCGTGGGTGTGGGATGCGTGTTGGGGAAACACCAGCTTAGAAAGACAAATGTGGTGACAGGTAGGCAGTTTGTGCTGACAGCAGCCAGAAACACTGATTTTTGAGGATGTAACAAAGAAAGGGAGACCCAAAGGAGGTGAGGTGGGGAGAGAAAGGCAAAGAGAAGAGACACAGAGGGAGAGGAAGGGGGCCCTGGAATCTGCTACCGGTCTCATCCCTGCAGCCAGAGCCCTTGGGAGG